AAATCAAAACTCACTCAAATTCATGAGGCAGTTAAGATTCAAAACGTAATTAAATAACAACTTTATAAGAAATATATATAGTTGAAATTCAAAGCATCACACGACGCGTTTCGATCTTTGTGAAGGGACTTGTGATGAATATTTCTAAACCTATTCTCACATAAATGGAAACGCGAGAAAATTTTTGACGAAGTTGAGTAGACGCCAATTTGTTTTTTTGAAGTATAAGTTAAATTTTTTTTTGTAATTCTTAATCGAATTCGTTTTGGAAATATAAATTAAATTTGTTTCATCAGTGGCAAAGTATCTCTTTCACCCTTGTGTATGTGTTAGTGACTATGAGAATGAGCTTGAGTGCAGGACTCCTGACTGATGTAACTCACCTAGCAATTTATTTGTTTGAAAGTATTTTTTTTGACGATCATGTGTGAGCCGTGAATTGATGTAGACGATATATTCGATGTGTAAAGTGTGCCATGTACGAAGTTTAGTTGCGGTGTCCAATTCTTGTTTTTTGGTATTAGTGGATTATCTGAAATTTAAGAAATCCATTTATCCTGTTGTTCACATATAGTAGGCAGTGGGCATTGATGAATAAATTTCATTTTGATGTTTTATTTTGAAACAAAGTGGAGATGATTCATTTTAAATTAAAGTTAGACAATGATAAAATGAAAAGTCTTTGCTCGTTTCTATTGTTTGCTCTGCTGTATTCCTTTAAGAATCGCTTTTGTAGGCTTTGCATGGATTAAGAAATTTTGTAATGAATCGTTGGTTTTAGGAACTACTCTGATTTGTATGCGGTTTGCGGGTGATCCTTGATATTGATAATGTTTCTTCCACCATTCGAAAAATTGACGAGGAAATGTCGTATTTGGTCCCATTTCAAAGGGATATCGCAGATACATTACCTTTGAGTTCCACGCTTTTGTTTGTAGAACTGGTGGAAATAATATTGGATCTTTTTTTATTGCGTTTTTTCCGATTTCACGCTTTGTTGGTTGATGAAGTAGTTTTTGATGCAGTTGCTGATAAAGTTGGTCATCGAATCGTTTTATGAGTGTATCAGCTTTATTCACTTGAAAGAATCGAAGAAATTGATTCCTAATAAATGCTGGTGGATAATTATTCAATAGCAATGATACAAGAATACGTAGCCGCTCTAGATGAAAATCATGGAGATTTGAACAGAGACGTGCTGTACGCAATAATGCATTGTATGGAATATTGCGATGAATGCTATGTGGATGATCGGATGTATATGGTAAGTAATATGGATCGGCACTTGGTTTATGATAGATCGAAGTTTTTAATTTCCCATTGTCATTCTTGATAGTAATTTCGAGAAATTGAACAGATTCTTGCATGTTAGGATTTATTTTAATGTTTAAATCTTTCTGTTGGGCTTTTTCGAGTTCTTTTGTAATTTCGTCAAATGAGATATTCGTTGTCATAAAGATATCATCGATGTATCTAATGTGAAAAATAGATAGATTTTTATTTATATTTTAAGCAAGTATAAAACAAACCGTCCGTAGATTTCATTTTTCGATGCTTGGTGTTTTATTAAATCTTGTTCCCATTCTAACATATAGATATTGGCAAAGACTTGTGTAAATGCTGAGCCCATTGCTCCACCACGTGTTTGTTTATAATACTTATTTTTATATACAAAATAATTTGTATCCAAAATTAGTCGAGCCATTTTCAAAATCATATCTATTGTAAATGGACCTATCTTACGATATTTGGCATATTTATCAAGAAATCTTATTAATGCATTGAGGCCACCTTCACGTGGTATCATGGTATAAAGATTTTCAACATCTGCTGTAATAAATTTTGTTGTGGGTTTCAAATAACCATTGGCCACATATTGTTGTAATTTTCGAACGACGTCAATACTATTAGTAAATGTAGTTTCACGAGCAACCTGTAAATATATCGGTGCTAAAAGGTTATTTAAAAATTTTGAAACTAAACTGGCGGGACCATGTAGTCCAGAAACGATAGGCCGTATTGGTATGCCAGGCTAAAATGAAATATAAAGGTGAATATATCATCAAAAACAAATTAGAAAAATAGAAAAACGCTTCTAAACTAATGTTACCTTGTGTACTTTAGGTAATGCATATAAATAAGCTAATTCCATTTTGTCGACATTTGGTAGAAGTTTATCACGTTGACTTTTTGTAATTGCTTTTTTCTTGACTAAATAATCGAGTACAGCTTCTGTTGAACGTAAAATATCAACTAGATGATAATGATCTGTAGGTAATTCTTGATAAGCTTCTGTTTTATTCATATATTCTTCTGTTTTATCGTCCATTGTAGCCGCATTACCAATATAAAATCCTTCGCCTTTATCTACTCGACGTACAATAATATCAGATCGAGTATGTAGCAATTTTTGAAGGCGTTTGACTGTTCTCTGTTCACGTCGAGCACGTCGATATAATTTTGATGGTAATGGCTTAGAATGTATATCCTTAATAGTTTGTTCTAATTCTGGAAAAGCTTTGTTTGCTCGTTCATCAGTAATTGACATTTGATTACTACCAAGACTTTTTTTAGTCGTATCCGATGTTGCCTCATATTCACTTTTAGCAATTTCGTCCATTGATTGACGAGAAAATCGACTTTGACATGGTATTATATATTTACGACCATAGATTAAAATATTCATATATCCGAAATTTAAATTTATATTCGTTCCAATAAATGGTAATGAACTACTTATTTTTGTATAGATAAATATTTTGCTCCGACAGTGATTTTTTTGAATTAGTTGCCGTTCACCGCCGGAGCTTGATCGAAAAAAGTCTTCAATTTATGTTGACGTATTCGAACAGCTCGTTGTATCATTGCTTGTCGGCGTTCTTCAATAATATTCATTGATAAAGTTGTATAAATGTGTGGATTTTCTTTATGTAGATTGAATAATTTTTCTTTTAAATTACTTAATGTTAGATCATAACGATGTGTAACAATTGTAAATTCATCCAATTCTATGATCATTAAATTAAACTTACATTGTATAATTGTCTTTGAACAACGTGATGCAAAACTAGCTCGTTGATCTGTATCAAGAAAAGGATTAGAAAGTGTTATTTGATTATCATTAACTAATTCATTTATCATTTGATCTGTTTTGGCTGGTAATCGTTTTAAATAAATCCGTTGTTGAAGTATTTCTTCTTGTTCTTTTGTTTTTAATTCGTCCGCTGTTACTTGCCAAATATTTTGAGCTAATTGAATTAATTCCTCATTGGGCTTTAATTCATAAAATTTTACAAGTAACCGATGATCAGTCCAATCTAATGTTAACATTTCTTTTTTATATTCAAATTCTTCCTTTAATCGATGTTGACTATGTCGAACACATTCATTAATTGCATGTGATAATAATGTTCCATCGATGGATGGTTGCCATTGTTCTATATTATTTAATAATTTTGTTAAATATTCTTGTAATTGATTTCCTATTCGTTCTTTTTGATGCGCAATTGTTGCTTGACGTTCTTGAATATAAGATCTTTGTGGTCTATACATTCGACATGTATTGTGCTGACGAGCAAATCGTTTCGTTATTTTCGATTCCCAATTGTTATCTTTGGAACTTATATTATAATATTCTTGCCATAATTTTGCTTGAAAATCTTTAAAATATAAATTATTTGTAATTTCAGTAATTTCACGAACAATATGAAGTTTTTCTGGACTATTCAAACATTCAACGAATTTGAAACCATTTTCAATTGCATCGGATAATATTCGTTTAAATACTAGATCAGATACTTTTAAATAGCGTGGTTTAAAATTTTCTAAATGTGACATTGGTGACTCCTTAATGCCATTGTTCACTTGATTCTTTTTAGTGGCTGGTTTTTCTACTGTTGTTACAGTTTTATTAGCATTTTCTTGTGATATTGATAATTGACTAAGAGATTCATCAAGTATTAATGTGTTTTCAAGTGTTGTTTTTGTTGTTGCTTTGACCTTCTTAGGATCTCCTTGTGATATGGATAATTGACTTAATGGTTTATCAAGTATTGTTATTGCTTCTGTTGTTGGTGTTGGTGTTAACAACATTCTTTTTCTTTTGATTCCCATTTCCATAATATCATCATCATCATCACCATCATGAATATTTTGTATTTGTGAGTTTTTTATCTGAATGAAGGATGAGTAGGAGTTCTCTTATATTTTGTAGAACACATTTTTTTAAACTCACTTTATCTTGCTGTTGTTGAGACTCTTGTATTTGAGAAGGAAATTTTTCCTGAATTAATTTTTCTACTATAGTTGAGCCCAAACCTTGATTATAAAGTTGTCGTCGATAACGTTGTCTTTTTCGATCACCACGACATTTTTTTTTCTTCATTTGGTCCGTTTGTCCTTGTTCAATACGAGTTTCTGTCTCGGGAGTTGTTGTATTTTCTATATGAATATTTTTATTCATAATAAATACTTATACCTAGAAGTATATGTAAAATTGTAGAATTATTCGAGAGAAATGTTATATACTATAGAAAAATATCAATAGAGCGAACAATATAGATAATGTATAGAATATTTAAACTATTAAAAATATAGTCATTATTTTAATCTTCTAGTTTACATTAACTCAATCAATCATCGCTTTGGTTTTCTATTCATTAGTCCATGAATTACAAATTTATATTGATAAAGGTCTTAGACCATATATTAAAAGCAAATGAATTTGTTAAGTTGAAGAAGAGAAAAATCAAAGAGTATTCCTGTTTACTGAAAGATTTTAGAGGTTATGTATACTGAATTATCATTCATCAGTGACACGAGAAAGAAAGGAAAGAAAAAAGAACAAAGAGTTAAGCAAGCATCAGTTGGAAATAATATGATTCCTTACTTGATTGTTTTAGACTACTGCCATTTCCTCATGAACAAATGAGCAAATAAGAATAAACTTTAGTTGATTTTTCTCTGAGTCAAAACATATCCTTCTCCCTAGCACTACAAAGTCAATCTTATAAAATAGAAACCCATTCTTTTTATTTTGTTCAATTTTCAGAAGTAAATTTTATGTAGAACTGTACCAAAGTTGATAAGACTAAAACCAAATCATATTTATCTATCTCGATGATAATAATAATAGACAGAAATATATTGAAAAGAAAAAACATCGAAATCTTTAAAAAAAAATTTTGAAGATGGGACAGAAGGGGGTCTACATAGTTGAATTCAAGGTGACGTGATCAAATTAGCTACCATGGGATAGAGGCGGGGCAGAGGTGAAACGGAAAAAAAGCTCGAAGAATGGTATTCAAATATAACATGATCACCGTGATCATATCTCGAGGATGAATGTGTATAGAGCTCTCTAACAATATAATGTCGTAAATCAATGAAAAGCAGACGGACCTATCTTGTAGAGAAAAGATAAATCAATCTGCTAGTCTCAACCTTTAATTTTTAGCAATCAATTGTAATCGAAAATAAAATTCAAAAAATATGAATAAAAAGAAATGCAGAGTTTAATTTCACCGACGCGTTTCGTATCTTTTAAAAGATAGTACTCTTTAGAGTTAGAGATGTATGTATATATATATATATATATATATATATAAAACAAAATATTCTTCATTTCATATAATATATAGTGCAGAAAGAGTTGTTAGAGTATGGGTGTGAATATATAAGAGACTATTCGGAGCTACTTACGACGCGTTTCGTCCTTGTGTAAGGGACTCATCAGGTAAATTCGGAATAAATATATGTTACTGCATTTAAATTCAATCACAAAAATTATAGAAAGTCATATAAATAAAAGTCAACAACAAGGAAGACTTTCTTTCGTCTTAGTAACAATATATGTTCTATAAACTCTGAATTACTGTAGTTAAACAAGATAATGCCTTTTCTAGATTTCAACAACAACAACAAATACAAGTGCCGATTTGTACCACTACGATTTCGATAATATATATATTTAAGAACATCACCATTCGAGCTACGACCATATGTATTTCAAGTAGGATCAATAACTTATTTACAGACTAACAAAATGTTAAAACACCTGATGATTGACGCTTGATCAAGGTTGAAATCGGAATCGTGTCGTACTTTCAATTTATTATCAACTATTATATTCATTCTATTGATTTATTTAGTTAAATTTTAACATGACCATCTGAAGATCTTGGTTGCTCGAGTGAAATGTTAACATCATGGCTGCTAGTTCTGAAGAAACCTTTAGCCAAGTGGAAACACGTCGTGGTAGCTACTGCATCTTTTGTGATCTATTCCGAAAACTCATCTATTAAGAAAATTTTATTTTTTCAACATTTCCAGAATTACAGAAGGAAGTGAGTTGATAAGTCCCCCAACCGAGGATGGAACTGGTCTCGACACGTTCCTACGAATGCCACCACTCGTCTAGTGCCTTAGCCAAATGGTAGCCAGGAGCCAGAAGAGGTGCAGTTACAGCACCCAATGCAACACCAGCTGCATAAGCACCACTTTGGGCACCAGAGTATAGGGCGCCCATGAAAGTATCTGGTGTGCGAATAGCCTCAACTCTCTCCAGTTTTAATCTCATTTCTTCGAGTTCGCTTTTATACTTCTTCTGATCTTTTTCAGCTTCGGCTTGATGACGTTTAAATTTTTCACGTAGTTCTCTTAATTGAGCTGTCTCGAGAATAATATCGGCTTTTTTCTCTTGTATTGCCGGAGAATGTATCGCGATACAGTTAATAATTTTTTTCCGCATAGTCTGTCTCTCTTGCTTGTCATCGAAATTGATCTTTTCGACAAATACTGAGTCGTCCGGTGTAAGAGTTAATTGGTTTACTGTAAGAGCTTCTTTAATCTGCACAAGAAAGTCAACATCAAAACTGCGTTTGCGATTGCTTAGTACGTTATTGATAACATAAATTATTGATGTAGATGGAAATTGATAAGCCTTGTGTAGAGCCGAAAAACCAATACCATCATCAGCTACCACTCGTCCGCCACTATTTGGTGTCCATACATAAATCACGATCGAGTATGGACACATTTGAAACGCCTTCTCGATTTCTTTCTTGTTTTGATCGATCCGTTGTTGATCCGATTCGATCAAGCCTGGAATATTGAATATTGAAAATGTCATTTCGCCCATTTTGATTTCTGCCCGTTCTGTTTTTACTGTAACCGCGTTTGGATCATACTCGCTTCTGAACCGCATCTCATCAAGCAGGATATTACAAAGGAAACTTTTGCCTGATCCGGAATTACCTAGAATGATGATACCGACACCATCATTCGGTCGTCCAGAATGAATTTCAGCCATTGTTTCAGAAAATCGATCTGTGTAAATCTAAAAAAGTGAGAAATACGGAATTAACTCTAATATTTGAACTTGGCAAGATTTGAATGAACATATTCTTTTCTTCCGAGACTATTAAAAACGCTTCACTTATAGGTGCATTCATGCTTTCACACTGCTCTCATGGACATGATACGTACGATAACTTCCATCTCGGTGATAGCAAAAGACAGAATGAGAAAAAACATGTTTTATATTGTTGATGAATATACTCAGGAAAGAGAATATGGTCGCCGGATACGGACTGTAAACGATCGTAACTATGTCGATTACAACCGTTTACGAACCATAAAGTACCGTGTACCATCCGTTTTTTATTGTAATCCTGGTCGATGATTTACGACCGTATTTTCAACTTGAATTTGCTGTATTCACATCGTGAGCATATCGTAACTAAAGTGTATCATGTGAAAAGTACGATGGTAAATCATCTAACCAGTCTTCGGTCGTATTTTCATAATTTAAAGCAATAAAGTTTTAAGAAAACGAAGATCGACACGACGCGCTTCGTCCTTTCTTAAGGGACTCATCAGATATCTTTGGTAGCCTATTATTATTACATAAGGGTGGGTGTAGGTGTGATATAGGCAGCCATGACGCGTTTCGATCTTGCTTAAGGGTCTCATCAGATGGCATTGACTCTTCTTCACTTGTTCGAATGATTTCAAAATTAAATGAAATCTTAAACAAAGTATAATAATCTATACAGTATATCCAAGAGATTAAAATAAACCTAATGGAATATCGATAAATATCATTTTATTAATGATTTCGTCAAGTATACCATGGTCCAGATTTCGACCTTGCTAAAGGGTCTCATCAGAAGGCTTAAATTATTCTGAATTATTCTCGAAAGAAAATTCAAAAAAAATTATAGAATCTTCAAGAATTTACAAAAATTGATAAATTATATTAAATAAAATGACAATAATGTAATAGAAGGGTTTGTATTAGTTTTTAAAGATTCTAACTACTATCTAGATTATCGACCTTGCTAAAGGGTCTCATCAGGTAGTCTAAGCACTGTATAATATATTAAATTAAAAGGAAAAAATTCAAAAGAAAAAATTCCTTCTATTTTTAATATATAAAAACAGAGAATTCTTAAATACTAATAGGGTGTGTATTTATTTTTAAAGATTCTAACTACTATCTAGACTATCGACCTTATTATAGAAGATTTTGAGATTGAGAGCATCACACGACGCATTTCGACCTTGCTTAAGGATTTCGTCAGACGGTTTAGTTGTATACATTGTTAGACTTAATCTTTCATGGCATTAGACATAAAAATATTAAAAATTGTCACCGACAGTGGTGATATAGAGTACCAGAGCGAGTTTTCACATGACTTTAAGTGTCATCGTCTGGTTAATGTTGCAAACGATTGCAGTAGAATTCCATGTGATACGAATATCACACATCTATGTGTCACGGTTCGAGGTATATATATTGAAAATGATTACTGAGAAATAAATCGGTGAATGAGTAGTGGTCATTGACAACAACCAATCAAATTAAAGATATGGAAGTCAAAGAAATAAAGTTTTAAGAAAACCAAGATCGACACGACGCGTTTCATCCTGTCTCAAGGGGACTCATCAGGTATCTTTGGAGCCTATTATTATTACATAAAGTAGAAATTCATTCAAAATTAAAAGCAATTCGAAGCAGTTAAAACTTAAACGTAATAAGCAAAAAACATAATTTTAAAGAAATTAGAGCAGACCTTAATATTTAAATGACAAATAATTATATAATCTCGATGACTTCGTAAAATCAAAGAATTCAAATTAATTATTAATTGATATTAAAAGTTACAGTCATTTTGTTTCTTTAAGCTCTATCTAGTTCGTAGCAGGTAATAGAGGATATGTTTTAATTTGAATGAATCGAACATAAAATAAATGGCATTGATCATTCTTTGAAATTAATCTTTGATTACTTCTAGGCAATATCTTAACTTTAAGATTTCTTAATGGCTTGTATTTAACGTTTTCAAATGGAATAATATTAGAGCTTCCTATCAAAAATTACTTTTTTGCTTGATCAATGTATAAATGAGTATACAAAAGTAAATTTGTTTGTAAAATAGTTCAAAGTACTCTAATACTTATTTATCGGATCCTGTTTTATTTCAATATCATCATTATCACTATCAATATCTAATCAAGAATCAGTCGGTATAGTAAATATGACGAATTCTTTTAGATTTGCAACTTTAATGATTGATTTCTTATTGCATCGAAAATCATATATAAACAAAGCAAATCGACGATAGACATTTAAAATGATGAACATACGTTAGAATAATTGTCAAGTTACTTCCAATGTACTAAATATATAGTTAAATCATAGCTACTTGAAATGAATGAATAGCAATTCGAGTCCGGATGTGTTAAACACCCAAATGAATAGAGATTCGAAGCTAAGATTCTTCATTTCAAAAACAAAACCAATACCTTGAATTTCGACAATCAGTATCTAAACACACGTTTTATATTTCAAATGCTATTGCTCAAACTTAAACTGGCGGGGTCGTACCTAATCAATGAACAAGATTATAGGCAAAAAGTACTAGTACAAAAAGATTGACGTACAAAATTGGACGTTTCCTCATCAAAAATAGGTTGGTTCTCAGACGAATTAAATAAGAATCAAAATAAAGGTAACATACAAGTACACCATTAGGTAAAACTAAGAAACCAATCTACCCATGAATTCAGATCATAATAGAATTGTATTGATTTATCACAAAAAACATACTAATGATCAAAACATCATTCAGTATAGACAGCAACACCACCATAAACCGTCAATCATTGACACCAATAAAAAAATACACTAACTAAAAATATCCTTCACCACATGAACCATACCCATTTGAGCAATTCAATGAATGACTAACACCACAGAAGACAGCAACAACTAAAAGATAACCAAAATACAACGTAACCAACCTAAAACAGTCAAATAAATACAATAATCAACAGTCCATAACTACACAACGGTAGAAGCTTTCTGAGGATTTCCCAATTCGTTCCCCCAACTTTTCATTCTCTACGAGATGGCGTTCGAAAAAGTCCGAAAAACCTTAAACTGACAAAGGTCAAGTGAGTACATTCAAAAAAAAAGAAGTCCCGGTAGTATAATCGCTAAAAAAATTTCAACTACTTGTCAAGATATTAAATTCTGGTAGATGAGTTGTTCATTCTTTGAATTTTATACTTGAAA